CTAAAAGTTCTCACACAAGACAATGGATTGTTATAACAATACACGGATGCATGTATTTGATAATTACTTGATAGCCTACACTATACATTGTTCATCATATCAATCCTCCCATTAATGATGTCAACAAATTCATTAAAAAGTAATATTTCTTATGTATTCCATTATATATTATATATATATATATATAATATATATATTATATATATATATAATATATATATATTATATAATATATATACATATATATATATATATATATATATATATATATATATATATACATATATACATATATATATATATATATATATATATATATATATATGTATGCATAAATATACATATATATAATATAATATATATATATATATATATATATATATTATATATATATATATATATATATATATGTGTTGCATACATATATATATATATATATATATATATATATATATATATATATATATATATATATATATGTGCATACTATATATATATATATTATATATATATATATAATATATATATACATAATGTTCATACATATATGCATATAAACATATATACATACAGTTGCGGAATCATATTTCAGTATACTACCTGAGTCCCACTTTTGTACATTTGGCAACCAATCGAAGTAAACAATGCGTAAATATTAATTTTATGAATGAGGCTAAAACCCTTGGTAGTTTGTAACAAAGAGTGTGATTGGTCAAATATAGATGAGTGTATCCATAAAAGACTTTGGAAACTAATTAAGCCATGTGATATTTGATTTCTCAAAATAATTGATAACAAACCATGTAATACTAATTATCGATAACTCTGTAGTGGGATATTCCTCAAATGCGATATACTGGCATTGTTTTGTAGAGTTAAGTATTTTTAGTTACACGAACGCGCCCGGATTCATGGATTCGCTTATGCGAACGGGTGGTCGTGTTGCCCACTTGGGGTGTTCACTTTTATTTTTAATGCCTTTTCTGATGCCCTTTTGGCAAGCCCTTGCCCTTTTTCTAAACGCCCCACCTCCAGAAGTATACATTGTAAGTTTTGGGTCCGATAGGAGCTCGTTTAACCCACACTCAAACCTTTTACAATTTGGATACTTGGCTACTCCTGCCGTGACGCGCCATGGAGTCGCCACAGAGGGCAGTTGGCGCGGTCACCTTGACTATGGAGAGGTGTGAGTGTGGGCTGGGGAGGATTCCTGACTTTGATATTTGTGCATTTCGTGATATTTTGTAATGTACTGCTGCGCTACCTGTTTTCCAGTGATTTTCACGTGTCTGAATCTGTGATACCGAGGCTGTAGTAGTGATAGTGCTCGTAATAAAGCCGTTTGCATGAACAGTTTGTATCACACTCCTGTAGGAGGTAGAAATGGCCGGCTTTTCCCCATGCCCATCCCCACATCTTCTCTACGGTCCGAGGATTACTCGTCAGCTCCTGTAGTAAGGTGAGTGTCGGTGCCCCCACACTTAACCCCGCTACAGATTCGTGTGGCTAGGGAGGGATAGGGTTTTTGTTTACATCCCTGCCCGCGCCTTGTTTTTATTGTATTAATTCTTTTACTTAAATTTCATGAGGTATTAGTATTAATTGTTTTACTTTAAATGTCATGGGGTTTTAGTATTAATTGTTTTAGGTAAATGTCATGGGGTTTAATTTTTTTCTTGTTTTATACTTGACTTTTATGGGTTTTTTTTTTGTTTTATTGGGTTTGTTTCTAGCTGTTCACTTTAACTTTTATGGGTAATTGTATTTTTAGCAGGTTTTACTGCATCTTGCTTTTATTTTCTCACGTTTCATTTTACGGCTTTTTCGATTTTTGTTTTAGTGGGTACTTGTATTGCTTTTAACAGGTTTTACTGCTGCTTTTTCTGATTTTCTCAGGGTTCATTTTATGTATTTTTATTGTTTTTTTTATTCTGTTTTACTTGTGTGCTTTAGGTCCGGCCAGTACCCATTTTAACCTTTGTCATTTTGCCATTTTTGCCTTTTTATGTTTTATTTGTTTTACCAGTGCTCTTTGTTTTTATGAACTTTGGTATTGTTTACTTGTGTAGTGCATACCTTTGTGAACTGTTTGTTTTTATCAACTTTTTATTTATTTTATTTATTTCTGTGGTGCCTCTGCTTGTGAACCGTGTTGAGTGAAAGATGCTTTGTCCGCAGGGTGTTGAGTTACCGCCAGTGTGTTGTGCCTAAAGTGCAGTGATATTTTTCAGTGCGATGTGGAGGGCTGTGGGCCAGCCCAGTATAGTTTGCGGTTACGCACTTCACGGCCCACAGCTCACAGTCGCTGACTGCCATGCCCCGCAGTAAGACCTCGCAGCCAGGGTCTCGCCCACCGACCCCGGAGGACGCAGGACTTGAGGCTGAACCACCATGGCTTCGGGAGGTGTGCTGCAAGATGCGCGGGCTGTTGCGGCTAGTGGCTTAGAGCTGCCGCAAGCGCAACTGGCTGAGTTGGAAGCCCGGCTTATGGACTGGTTGGGTGCGCAGATAGGGGACCAGCTGACCCGCATGCAGTCACAGATGCAGGCATTGGCGACTCTCCTGAAGAGCCAGCAGCCCACACCGTCCACCGCTGCCGAAGGATGGTGACAGCTGCTGCTGCTACGCTACCACCCTTGTCAACCCTTCAGCCTCGTAGTGAGGAGGTCGCTGAGCAGCCGCCTCGTCTGCCTCCACCTGTGACTGTAAGTACGCAACATCCTGCACCTGTAGCCTCGTACTTGGTTCCTGTGTTGGGTGGCCAGCCAGATGCTGATGCAGGAGATAGGAGAGACACCCTAGGGCACCAGTGGGTTGCAGCTGCTACCTCCAGAGAGCCAGCTTCCTCCTCTGCAGCCGGATTGCAACCACCACCACCCATGTTGTCGGGGTCCATACCAGGGCCTGCGGCCCATCCGCAACCCTCAGTGCTGCCTCAGCCGACACAGTATGGCCGCACCTGCAGCAAGCTACACCGGTCTCAGAGCCCCCTGCCCATCTATACATGGCGCCTCCAGCAGCTGTGAATTGTACAATGCCCTACTTCCAGTCAGAGCCAGCTCAACCGTGTAGTCATGCCGGTCCTTACTCTACACTGGCCAGTGGACGTGATGAGGTGCCCGTCTTTTGTAGTGAGACGCCTGCCTCCCAGGGCATTCAGCGAAGTCAGGAGCTGGAGTCCTGGATATCCAGTATTGAGTTTTCGGCCCGGCCTGCCACCGAGGCTTACATCCGCATGGCACGCAGCAGAGTTAGCAGATATGCCTGGTCAGTGCTGAACAGTCCTGTGTTCACCAACATACAGGACTGGGTGAGTTTCAAGGCTCAACTCCGGGACCAGTTCCGTGGTGTGGCCACGGAGTTTTACGGGGACCTTCTGCCTCGAGCGGCGCTGGTTGGTGGGACACCTGTGTCCACTGTTCCTGGCACAGGTTCACAGCCAGCTCGGACCCCTGCCGCAACATCACCCCGCAGATGGTCTCCTCACAGGAAGGGAAGTCGGCAGCGACCTGGTGCGACTACCATCTGATGGAGGGCCATCACACCAGCGAGGTAGAGGTCGGTGCTACAACTGTGGTGAGACAGGGCACCTGAGAGCTACGTGTCCCTTTGGCCAAGGCCGCTCAGGTGGAGTCTCCCAGCTTGCGGGTGGCCGTGCTAGCACAACGGGAACTGAACAGCCAGCCAAGAACTAGGTTCACTGGATGGCCCATGATAGTCCTTGAGGTGGAGGGTAAGACGTTTTCCTGCTTTTTGGACACAGGGTCAGAGGTGACGATGATGAAGAGGGAGGCCGTTACACGCCTGCCAGGAGTCCGCTTGCACGCCAGCTCAAGAGCGTTACAGGGCGTCTCAGGCCAGCTGACCCCTGCTGTGGCAGAAGTGGCTCTTGCTTTCACCATCCATCCGAAGCTGATGTCACCCACCGGACCTGTGTTATAGAGGGTCTTCGCTTCCCCGGCGACATCTTGATGGGTATGGACCTGTTACACCGCTTCCCTGTCCGCATGATCCTCGAAGGTCCTCTCTTCCAAGAACTACGTGGAGTTAGATGGCTACCGTCACCGAATATCGTTCACCAGAGGGGGCACAACTGGTTATCACTTGCCTGCTTGCCATGATGCCGCTGATGAGACCCCTGAAGCAGTGGAGGTCCCTGAGCTATCGCAGTCCCCTTCACCGGTAGCTATCTCACCTGTCCATGTAGCTGAGGAGACTGGTAGAGGCTAGGTCTGGCAAGTTTGTGGCTGCTACTGTGACCTGCAGCTCTCCTGATGACACACGCCTGGCCATTGTTGAGACCTGCACCTGATCATCCAGGTACTGTGTTGGGGTATGCTTCTTTCCTGGAACCAGAGGTGGTATGCATAGTCCCAAATCTGCGATGACCTCCGACACCCCAGACAGCAAGCCTCCTGCAGAACACTTGATGGCCATGGCCACTCCAGACCTGGAGTCAGAAGAGTTCCCAGAGGAGGACGAGTTTTTGGCCTGTGGTGAGTTCCAGGACGATGATTATCACAGTACTGCATGTCTGGATTTGGGTACGAGGACGAGGACTTCGTGTTTCCGGACACACCTGCCCTGGATGAAGCGTGTCAGCATGACGAGTTGGAGGCTGCCTGTGCTGCTGTAGACTCAGGTACTGGTGGCACTGAGGCAGTCGGTGCTCCCCTTCCCATTGCCCGCGGGCATTTGACAGTAGACCAGGAGGGGCAGCTGTGAAGTGCTAGACCGTTTCCCAACTCTGTTCTCAGGACACAAGCTGGCAGTAGGGCATGTTCCAGGAGTGCAGCATCATATCGTCACTACAACCGATACCCCAGTTGTGTGCGACTGTGGAGGCTTCCACAGAAGATGAAAGAAGGATACGCACAGAGTGTGACCGTATGCTGATCCAAGGCGTTATTGAACCATCCTCGAGCCCTTGGCTGTCACCGGTGGTACTGGTCAAGAAGAGGGATGGAACTCACCGGTTCTGTGTCGACTACCGGGCCTGAATCGGTGACGACCCCAGACGCCTACCTCTCTTCCCCGCATTGACGAGATGCTGGACTCTCTGACAGGGCGCACCTGGTTCACTGTTCTCGACAGTCGGTCAGCCTACTGGGCCATCTCTGTGCACCCTGATCGCCAAAAGACTGCCTTCAGTGACGGCCATCGACTGTTGCAGTTTCGCAGACTTCCCTTCGGCCTCTCAACTGCACCGAAGACGTTCCAGAGGACCATGAACGTTGTCTTGGCTTCTGTCTTGGACATCACACACCCTTGCGTATTTGGACGATGTGGTGGTTGCATCGGCAAGCTTCAGCGAATACCTGCAGCATCTCCAGGACACTCTAGCTCTTCTGCATGACGCAGGGATGAAGTTAAACCTGGAGAAAAGTGAGCTTGCCAAGCACCAGGTGAAGCTCTTGGGCTTCATTGTTGGTCCTGAGGTGTGAGACCCAACCCCGACAAGACTGCTGCCATTACTGACATGAAGCGACCTCGCTCAGTGCAGGATGTCCGCCGCTTCCTGGGTGCTTGTTTGCTTCCGTCGCCACATCCAGGAGTTCGCGGCGATGGCTAAGCCTCTGACAGCCCTTATCAAGAAAGGGGTGAAGTTTGAGTGGGAAGACACTGCTCAGCTGGCCTTCACCGCTTTGAAGGACATCTTGGTCAACAACCCAGTGCTTTGCCTGCCGAACTTCAGTCAGCCCTTTGAGGTGCACTGTGACGCCAGCAAACAGGCTTTAGGTGGGGCCCTTTTTCAGCGTGACGTAGAGGGTGTGCCTCATGCTGTCGCCTACTGGTCCCGTACCCTGAAGGATGCTGAGACCCGACCTGGAGGCGCTGGCTGTGGTGGAAGTTGTCCGAGCCTTTGACCCGTACATCTATGGCCGACGTTTTGAAGTTTGGACCGATCACCAGCCTCTGGTTGAGGTATTTTCCCGGCGCACGAAGAGCACCCGTCTGAGTCCACTGCATGACAAGAATGCCAACAGAGTGCTGCGGGCTTTTGTGGATCACTACGTGACATTCTTTGGGCCACCCGACCATCTCACAGACAATGGCCTGGAGTTCTCTGATGAGTGGCGCTCGCTTCTGGAGGCATTGCAAGTGCAGCACTCTTTTTCAGTGGCTTATCACCCCAGTCCAATGGGGTGGTGGAGCGCACCAACCGGATAGTGAAGGACACATTGGCGGCGCTAGCAAGGCAGGCTCCTTCGCAGTGGCCCACTCACTGCCTGCTGTGCGCCTCGCCCTGAACTCAGCCATCCATCGGGCGTGGGGGACCAGCCACTGTACTTGCTGACAGGTCATATGGTGTTCTTTGGGAAGGGCCTGACTAACCGCGTGTCTTTGGCACGCCTTGCAGACGCTCACCGCCTAGCTGTTGAGGTGAGCAGGAAGATGCGAGAGACCAACAAGGCCCAGTATGACCAGGTTACTCGCACCTCAGGCCCTTATGAGGAAGGTGCTCAGATCTTGCGCAAGATTCTAGGGAACCGTGGACCTTTGGGTGATCGCTGGCTTGGTCCCTGCCATGTGCAGAAGTGGTTAGGCCCTGTTAGTTACGATGTCCTGGACCTTCGGCCCATACCGTGCTGTCAGGGTCCATGCCAACTAGATGCGCCCTATACTCCAGCCTTTGAAGTGGACTTCCTCGAGGAAGATGACCGAGTGGTGTGTGAGTGACTTTTGTTTGAAAAGCGAGCTTTGAAAGTGTTTTGAGCTACTGAAGCAAACTATAGAGTGCCTTAAAGCTCCTGAGCTTTGTGCTGTGTCGTGAAGTTTGTGTTTGTTCTTATTGTGATTTATTTTTACGTCACTTTTGTATTTTGATATTTTATGTTTGTGTTTTGATGTTTTTTAGTTTTACCGTTTTTATGATTTTAAATTTCTTTGGCGTATTTGTTTTGGGGTACTGGGCTTCCGGAGGTGTGGCGTTTTCCGTCCCGGGGGAGGAACTATAGAGTTACGTATTTTTTAGTTACACGAACGCGCCCGGATTATGGATTCGCTTATGCGAACGCGGGTGGCGTCGTGTTGCCCACTTGGGGTTTTCAGTTTTATTTTTAATGCCTTTCTGATGCCTTTTGGCAAGCCCTTGCCCTTTTCTAAACGCACCCACCTCCAGAAGTATACATTGTATTTTTGGGTCGATAGGAGCTCGTTTAACCCACACTCAAACCTCTATACAATTTGGATACGTGGCTACTCCTGCCGTGACGCGCCATGGAGTCGCCACAGAGGGCAGTTGGCGGGTCACCTTGACTATGGAGAGGTGTGAGTGTGGGCTGGGGAGGATTCCTGACTTTGATATTTGTGCATTTCGTGATATTTGTAATGTACTGCTGCGGCTACCCTGTTTTCCAGTGGATGTTTCATGTGTCTGAATCTGTGATACGAGGCTTAGTTAGTGATAGTGCTCGTAAATAAAGGCAGTTTGCCATGAACAGTTTGTATCACGACTCTTGTAGGACTAGAAATGGCCGGCTTTTCCCCATGCCCATCCCCACATCTTCTCTACGGGCGAGGATCACTCGTCAGCTCCTGTAGTCGGGTGAGTGTCGGTGCCCCCACACTTACCACGCTACAGTTTGTTTATGAAAACGGTAACACCTATGATGGAGAGGCGGCATTTCCCCTTTTTCAACTTAAGAAATATCAATTGTAATTGCATATTTATTAAAAACGAAAAAGTTTCATGTTTCTAAACATTATGTATGGCAATAAATCGGCTAAAAATCTTTGTAAAATCATTGAGAACTTTTAAAGTATAATGGTGGCTGCATCATCTAATAGCAGCTAATCTTACTAATGGAAACACTCACACACACACACATACATACATACATACACACACACAACACAATATGAAGTATCTAACAATTCTATAATGAAGAATATAAAGTAGCATGGTTGCTGTTTATTGAATGTGTTTGATCTAGCAAAAAGGAAAAGCAATCTCCTTTAATTCATCAGATAGAGCTACGAAGAGTATTTACAAAGGACTTTTGAACAATTTTGTTTGTTTTACTGTCATTGTAGATGTTTAAAGCATGAAGCGTTTTTCGGTTTCAATAAATATGCAGCTAAAATTATTGCTACTCGTTGCGTTAGATAAGGGAATGCCGTCCCCCCACCATAGCTGTTGCCATTTCGTTATAAACAATTCCAAGATATCGGATTTGATGATAATATTACATGTTTTAATCACTTTTTAAAAGAAAACAAGAAATCAAATGGCTTACTTAGTGTTTCAAAAACTATTCATTGATACACTCACTGGTTATTTATATTCGACCAATATTCTTTTGTTACAAAATACTAGGGTTTTAGCGCTCATTCACAAAATATTATTTACACTATGTTTATTTTCAATCGGTTGGTTGGTTAGATGTACGAAGTGGGTCCTAATCAGGGTAATGAAATATAACTCAGGAGAGTATAACACCTTCCGCCGAACCTGCGATGAGGTATGGAGTGTTTTGACAGTGGCTCAACCAACTATGACAGAAACACACTTACGAACAATATTCTAATAAAGAAGTCGTGGTAAATTGTGTTTTGAATTCCATTTCGAACATTCCGGCTTAATACTACACTTTTTGTATAGGGTAAGGTATATTCGAAGCTTCAGTTCATTAAAAACTTTTAGACGTGACTGAACCTCACGGGTTCGATGCCAGCTTTTTTGTGTGTGTGACTGGATCATCGTAACTGCTTCGTAATGAAAAACATATACATTAATAGAAATTGCTCTGAATGATAAAATCATACAATGGTAATTTCATTATCGTTGCCGCCCCCCCCCCTCCAACACAGTGCGGGCCGCTTTTCTAGACACTGGTGTTGAGAAAGGAAATAAATATAATAATAGCAATGAACCAGACACTATTATAAACGGACGAATAGTAAATTACAGTTAACTTAATAAGATAAACGATAATAGCTTAAAACAGCAATTATTGAATTGAAAATTAATTTACTAAATCCTTCTTTTACGGGGCATATAATGTTAATCGTTTTCAAGTTTGACAGGTAAGTGCGTGGGTCAGAGTCTGTTGATTATAGGATTCTCTGCCTTAATTGCTTACCATCGCACTACAAAAACGATGTACAATACAAACATTATTAAACTAGTAATGTAACAACATTCAACGCATAAAATGCACCCGCACCTCTTTATAGAAAGTGTATTAGATGTATAAATTCAGAAGGCGACATTGAACCGTAGACTTGATTTATCTAAAGATTATACGACAATTCATGGTGATTGTTGTAGGGCTGAAGTTATAAAGCAGATGTCGGCAACCTTTGGCACGGTGCCAGACTTGGCACGGAGAGCTCTTGTCTATGGCACGCTATGTGGTTTAAAGAAAAAAAATAAACAGCAAAATAATACGTTAGAGAGAGAAAGAGGAGAGATCCAGATGCTTTCATACATGCAGCATACCCTCAACCCCTATCGCAGCAGGCTTACAACGAATCACTTGCGGGTTGTTTGAAGCTCAGTGTGACCAGATATTAATATGGTGAGTATAAATCTAAAATTATAGAGCTTTTTTTTTGTGTGTGTGTGTTACAAAGAATACTAAATGCTACAAAATATATATATTTATGTTATGCCTATGCAAGAAAATACATTTGGGTTTAAAGTGCGGAAAAAAAAACTGTCACGCAAGCTTATTAATACGAAGGCGTTAATTATAAATTGACACGCTATGTTCAAAAGGTTGCCGATCCTTGTTATAAAGTCACTTTATGGACTGACTTTGCCTTGGGTGATGCCCAGCTAAAGGGACATCGGATGAAATTTCCATTGCTGACATGTGGTCTGCCACTCACATCAGTTTATACCAGGATGATGTCAACAATTTTTGTTTAATTTCTTCAAACATATGAAAATATTGCAATAGTACTTTGAGTACTTTTCGTTTGCATAAAACCATCTATAGTATATTAAAAATACAGCCTATGAAAAAAAATCCGTAGTGATATCATCCGTCGG